AGGCAAATACTACCGCTTCCAACTCCAGATCGTGAGTGGGGTAGTTCTTTTCGTGCTCTTTCAATTGTCGAGATGCGTATGCTATCACCTTTTCTCTTTGGGTCAGAACAAAACCCAACCCGACTCCAGATGCATCACTATAAACCGCGAAATCTTTGACTCCATCGGGTAGAGAAAGTATCGGTGCTTCACATAACTTCTTCTTTATCTTCTCGAACGCCTCATCGTGTTTCTCACTCCATGTATACGTAGCTCCTTTATGGGTCAAAGCTGTTAATGGAGCAGCTATCGAAAAAAAGCCTTGGATAAATCGTCGGTAATATCCGGCTAATCCTAGAAAGCTTCGAATCTCCGTGGGACTCTTCGGACGTTCCCACTTCATTACAGCCTCGATCTTGGCGGGGTCAACCATTATTCCTTCTTGGTTAACAACATGACCCAAGAACTGGACTTCCCGTATCCAAAAGTCGCATTTGGAGAACTTTGCAAAAAGCTTCTCCTTCTTTAACACCTCCAACACTTCTCGTAGATGCTTGCCATGCTCCTCCTGGCTTTTCGAGTAAATGAGAATGTCGTCGATGAACACTATCACAGATTTATCGAGGAATGGTTTACAAACCCTATTCATCAAATCCATGAATGTTATGGGGGCATTGGTTAATCCGAATGACATAACCAAGAACTCGTAGTGTCCATATCTTGTTCTGAATGCAGTCTTTTCAATATCCTTCTCTCTCACCTTCAGCTGATGATATCCTGACCTAAGATCGATCTTTGAGAAGTAGCTCGAACCTTGCAGCTGATCGAATAGATCATCAATCCTCGGAAATGGATACTTGTTCTTCACCTTATTCAGCTCTCGGTAGTCTATGCACATCCTCATGCTTCCATCCTTCTTCTTCACGAATAACACCGGAGCTCCCCAGGGTGATGAACTAGGTCGAATGAAACCATTGTCCAACAGCTCCTGAAGTTGCGTCATGAGCTCCTTCATCTCCGTCGGTGCTAATCGGTAAGGTGCCTTTGCTATCAGTTTTGTTCCTGGTAATAAGTCTATACGAAACTCCACTTGCCTATCAGGTGGTAATCCGGGAAGATCTTCGGGAAAGACTTCCGGATAATCGCACACAACCGGTATATTCTGCACCTCTTTCTTTTCCTTCTTAGCATCGATTACGAATGCCAAGTACGATGCACATCCCTTGGACAAACATTTCCTGGCTTTCATCAGGGAGATGATTCCAGAATTCACTCTGCGTTTGTCCCCGTACACCATAAATGATTCCTTCCCGGGTGGGTTTATCCTAACTATCTTCTTTCGGCATAATATCTCGGCATCGTTGGCGCTAAGCCAATCCATACCCAAAACGATGTCGAAACCGTTTAACTCTATGGGTAATAGTTCCTCATGGAATTCGTTTCTGTTTAGGTCAATGACGATGTTCCTAATACGATTACTAACAGGTACGAATTTGCCACTGGCAACTTCTACAATCAGAGCGTTATCAAGTTTTTCTACAGGTAATGCTAATTTCGCACTAAATTTATGCGACACAAAGGAGTAGTTGGCTCCTTGCCATCTTGATCTATACACCGAATAAGGTGAATTTAGATCTTTATTTAGGATAGACGTTCAACTCATCCTTATCTCTCCGAAACGTTTACATGCTAGTTCTAATATCGTAGTCGTACGTTTAGAATCCTAAACACATAAGGTTTCCAGATCCGGTCGGCAACAGACCATAGATCCGAACAAACTAACAGCATATCATGCATAAAGCATTTAGCACATAAAATCCTTTTAGGCACAATTCCTAAAATAAGCTAGTGCTCACACCTCACAATCATCGCTTAGCATTCTAAGTTTAAGTCTAGAAATCCTACAAATTCCTAGTTCGCTTAAACTAATGCTCTGATACCAACTGTGACATCCCCAAAATCACGGCCAGAAAAGACCGGTTTTGTTTATACTTTATTTCAAAATCAGAGTTATCTTTAATAAAAGGGTTGCGGAATTTGTCCCAAACAATAATATGATAAAGATTTATCAAAAGCATTTCCATAGAAATGTATTTCATTAAAAGACTCGGGATGTCATGTTCGTACAGATCAAAAGTATAAACAGTACAATATAAGCCTTACTACATTATTTCATATCTACAGGCCTATATCCGTAATCCCTCGTCCAAAACATCACACCTATGCTCATGCGCCACTACCTGTAATACATAAAATTGAGTGGGTCAGGCTTGGGAGCCTGGTGAGCACATAGGGTTTTCAACCCACAATAAATAAGTTTATTAATTTCATCAATCAACAATAACCCGATTACCCGTTCCCGTTATCCTCACTTTACGTCCCTAAACACCTATCATAAGGGACCTAGCCTAAGGATCATCATCGGACGGACACTACTGCTAAGGGGATTCCTCAGCAATAAATGTCCTAATAGGCAACCATGTGGGGAATGGAGTACACCGGTGAACACATCGTTCACAACACCTACAGGTTGCGAGCCTGCTAGTGTTCCACTGGACTGTCTAGAAGAGTCTGTGGTCGTCATCTATACTCCGCTAGATGACTGGATCAACAACAACAACATCGAGGCCTCTCATCATTTTATCACACATCACCTATTACATCTACCCATGTTTTACCCCAACATTTTCATTGATCTAAAATACATATACAGTTTAAATCATTGAAAACATGTATAACAACGTTCATCTAGCATAGATAGCAAGTATTCAGATAATATGCACACATAGCATGTAATTTATATAAAATACTTCATATCTATGTGTAATTGAAAGTAACTATGCACTCACCTGATTAGGTGGTGACTCAGCACTCGGACAGCGCTTCGATACTTCAAAATGATATTCCTTCGATAAAACCTAGTATCGATACCACTAGGGTTTAGTCTAATGATAACCGCGACAAATTAATTATCTGACTATTATTATTATTATATAAGCGTTAATAACACTCAATATAACTCATAATAATAGCCCAAATAATTATTTTAAGGACCTAATAACATTCCTATATTAAAACATAAGCTAAACTAAAGATAGGATAGGTACAGCTCACTTACAACGGGTTTTTCTCGAAAACCGGGCTTCGCTGGAGCAGCGTTCCCGAGCGAAAGGCTCTTTTCTCGGGACTCCGGGAGCCTCGGGGCTTCCTTCGGGTGCTAGGGGGTTTACCTAGGCTTTTAGGGGGGTTAGGGAGCTTAGAGAGAGAGTTTAGAGAGAGAAAGAAGAGGGGTGAGGGGTGAGGAAATGAGGGAACCCGGCACCTCTATTTATAGGGGAGAAATCTGATGGACTCGCCGAGTAGGGGGGACCTACTCGCCGAGTTGGTCCATGTGGTGGCCTTCTGGTGGTGCCACGTGTCCAATTCTGGTGGTGCCACGTCACCCCCTATCGCGTATCAGCCCTCAAACTTAGAAAAATCATAACTTTCGCATACGAGCTCCGTTTTCGACTTTTTATATCCACGCGTAGGTAAAATCAAGATCTACAACTTTCGTTTAGACTTCGTCGGCTAATTCTCGACCGATCTCAAATTTAACAGTAGGAGGCGTTTAGACTGTTAAATGACCGCGAAGAGTTCATAACTCCTTCATACGGACTCCGTTTTCGTCTGTCTTTTTACCGTTGAGTTCCTATTAATGAGATCTTCAACTCTCATTTAGGTCGCGTAAGCCAAAAACCGCTCGAACTAAAATTCGAGTTTCGGGCCGTGCACTGCTAAGCCGAATCTTAGAAAAATCATAAATTCTTCATACGAAGTCAGATTTGGGAGTTCTTTTTATCGATGTTCTTAGTTTAACATATTCTACGACTTTTGTTTAGATTACTAAGGTTAAAAAAGTCTTCTATCGTAAATTCACTATTTACGTCTCCCGGTGTCGTGCCGGTTTTGCCGTAAAACTTCGGCGGGTCATAACTTCTTCGTTATAACTCGGATTTTGGCATTCTTTATATGTACGGAAACCTTGAGACATATTATACAACTTTATGTAGAGATATAGGGATTATCTCACACTTTAATTTTGACGCTCATTTTTATTCTTTATTAATTATACATTTATAATTAAATAATAAACACACAAACATACATAATTCACATAATACTCAAATATTTCATATTTATTACTTCAAAAAGAGTTACAATAGTTGACCTAGACTATTACATTGACAAAAATGCTTAACCCTGAAACCCGGGCGTTACATAATACATAGTCCAATTCTAATGGCCCAAAATGCGGGTCCTGATAAGTCCAAGCTCATGATTCCAAAATTAGGGTTTTCTAAACCCTAGTTAGAGTTTTCAACCCAATCATAGCCCAATAGGCCTAAAAGTTAAGTCCATCTATCCATTAGGGTTCATTAGGCCTCTTAGGGTTTCCCTAGGCCCATTAGGGTTTCACTAGGCCCATTAGTCACATGTTTGGGCTTTTAGGTCAATTAGGGCTTCATTGGGCCCACTAGGGTTTCATTAAGCCCATTCTGTCCAAGCATCCCAAATGAGTCAAACACAACAAGCACACCGCCACTCGACACGGTGGCTGGAGGCAGCAGCCACCACCTCACAGTGGTGGTTATGAGTTTCTTTCCAATATTCTACTTTTGGATTACATTTTACAAAGCTTTAATCCCAAAATAAACACACACACACACAGCCACCCATGTGGTAGCCTGTGGTGGTAGATGGTGCCAGCCACCATGGTTAGCTACCATGGTGGTTTCTTTCCATGGTTTACGGCCAAAAAGCACACCCTCACTTGTTCAGCAACACCAACACATGCCAAATCTTGAGCTGAACACGAAAAACACACCCATCAAAATTCTTGTGGCGGTACGCGGTTGTTGCACGAGATGGAGGCAACAGCGGGTTCACAATGGAACAGCCGCATGGCGGAGACAGCAATGATAAACCCAACACCAGCTAACTCGACCGGTCACGATGGAGAAAGGATATGGCGGCCTTGAATGACAGCAACCGCAACAGAAACACGAGAGGAACGGGTAGAGGTGTGGTGGCAATGGTGGGTGGGTTTCGACGATTCACAACAACCATTTCTCCGGATGTCGTGCTTACTTTCTGACGTAGAGAGGGGTTGGCTCCGACGGTTTCCGTCTCCAATGGCGGCTAGGAGGTGGCGACTGAAGGATAGAGAGTGTGATTGGTGGTTGCAGTTCATATTAAGGTTAGGGTTAATGTAAGCAACAAGGAGTGAGGGAAAGGTGGTGACGGGTTTTAAACCTCGACTCCATCTAAATTTTATTCTAATTGTACAAAATTAATCCCTGTCCCACAAATTTCTTTCAAATTCACTCTATAAATTACCATTCGGCCCCCAGCAATCCAAAACCTTTCCAATTTAAGTCCAATAGTTACCAAACATCCCCTCCTCTACAAATTCTTTTGAACTGAAGTACATATGTTACCATTCAGCCCCTAAGCCTCCAAAATCTCTTCAAATTAAGTCCCAATAATTTACCTAGTAGTTCATGCCTTCATAAATATTTACAAAACCAATATGCAACTTACACTTTTAGCCCCCGACTTCTAAAATCGTCATCCGACTCACTGAAACCAACACCCCGATAAATATCATGGGTTTTAGGGCTATTATTCATCCATTAATTTTATTTATTTATTTATTAAATAAACGGGGTGTTACATACAAGACAAAGAATACCAAAGAGGAAGGGAGACAAGTTGTAGCCATTCTCGATCAACACACTTCAAAAGGCCGCGTGAGAATTTACATTGTAGCTCATGCAGCCACATAGCACCTACATGGGGCAATTTCAAGATTTCGTGTTTAGTGTTGGGTACCGCTAAACTATTTTTACTTTTCCTTAATCTCGGCCATGTTATGCTAAGTTTATCATGGTTGATTTTGACATGATTTATGGTTATTTAATTGTTTGAAGATCATTACGAACTTGTAGTGATGTTTATGAAAGTATTTTCCATTCAACATATTTTCTATACATATGTTTTTATTCATGAGTTTAGATATATGTTTAGAGATTAGTTGACTAATTTCTTGATTAAGTAATATATCTTCAAATTAACAAGAAACAAATGGTTATTGTGCTTCTTTTCCTTTCATACATTCATGAAAATAATTTCTCCAACATGATAGTGAAATCATTTTAACTACTCTTGGATTTGATGGCTTTTAAATCTTAATGTTAGTTAACTTTCATTAATTACATGATTCATGGGAATTATGATTTTAACTAAAGAAATATTCCGTGAGTTTCTCTAGTTATTTTACTAACTAATAAAAGTATACATGACTTAAGCTTTTAAATCATTATAGCCAAATTAAATTAAGCCATAAGTTTTGCACCATAATATCTAATGATAACTAGCTACGTATCCACGTGATGAAAGTCAAATTCAAGAATCTTTCTCTTATGGATTTAAATAAAACTTTTTTTTTCTTGTTGAATTGTAATTTCTAAGTTTTAGTATAATTTAGTTTTCTTAAAACAATCAAAATACTAAAAATCCTCATTTTTAATTGTATTGTCGTTTTTCGAGTATTTTTGCAAAGAGATTTTATAGAATTACAAATTGAATAAATTTCTGTAGATTCGATCCCTTTGTTATTATAGACTATCTAGTGTGCAATTTCTAGGATTATTTATTTGTTGGTCTCGGCAACCACCAATACAATTTTTTAATTATACTTATATTTAATAAAATATAAAAACCCATTAAAATATAAAAATATATTGTTTAAAATGTATCTGTCTTTTTTTATGATGAAACTAAATCAAAATTTGATACGAAATACACATCCACATACTAAGTACTTTTTTTTTAAAACAATGCATATAATTCATCCACAGATCGATGGAGAAGACGTAAAATAATCTTTTCAACATGACAAAATAGCTTAATTTTTGCAATAATTGATCAATAAATATTCTTAATCTATATAGAATACATATTACAATATAACACGTTGATACACATCAACCCACATGAAGATTTTTCAACCAAACACTTAAGTATGTGGATATATTCTGTATCAAATTTTAATTTAGTTCTATTATCAAAATGTGACAATAC